AACTTTGTGGCGGTTATGTTGGTTATGATGGGAAGAGGCTTGAATGGTGTTGGATCGTGTGTGCTGGATCCCTGGGCTGTGTTGTCCATCGGTGTCGTTAACAACGCCAAATTTTCAGGCGTCTTCTTGACGTATTTGCCCATTACTCGCGGTCTATCTTTTGCCGCTAGCTGCTGCGGAGTTGGTTCTCCTGGTGCTCGCTCTTTCTTCTTATAATGCCTCTTCTTTTTGCTCGATTTCTCGAAGCTTCTATTCTCCTTATCTTCCGAAGTGTCGGAATCGATGATTTGATGTTTTCTTTTCTTTGACGGGATATCGGTTTGCTGCTTGCTTGTTGACGGCGTGGATGTGGCTGTCGGTGCCACGATTGCCGCGTACGGGATTTCATGTGTTATTCCCAGTGCGGCGGGATCGAATTTACTCGACTCCCTCTGCTTCTTCACTCGTTCACCGATGTATTTCGCCGTTTTTTCAATTTTTCCGTCAATAACTTTAAAATTAAGACTAAACGCTCTCGGGGTATTGTCTCCCGCTTCTAAACAGTCTTTAATCGTAATGAGCGTCGTCACCTCACATATCTTTCTGTCACTCTCGTCACGAATCGTCGTAACGTCTCTTTTGCAAATGTTTTTCTTCGCTGTCTTGCTATGATATTGTATCGCGTTGGCTGCCTCTGTTGCTAGCCTCACGTCTTGACGATGTGCTTCTTGTATCGCCTGAGGATCAATTTGCGGCTGTTGCTCGAGATACCTCTTCAACAGTCTAATTCTGGTTCTCGAATTTTCGAGCAGTTGCTTGTCACATGCTCTTTCTCTTATTAATTTAGTCAGCCTCTCCTCCTCTTCTTTCATACGGTTGATGTCGTTTCCGAATTCGGTTTCCTCTTCTGCCGAAGACATTTTTGCGTTCTTCCTGCAATTCAAATCGGAAGTCTTCGTGAATATCACGTATTTTTTCGGCTGTGTCAATTTATCACCACTTTTGTTTATTGCGTCACTCGTCACTACGTCTTTCGCTTTTACGCACTTCGCCGCGGTTCTAGAATTACTCGCGACTCGCGCTTGTTTACACGTCGACGGCTCGCGTAACAATGAGAC